ATAAACATCTTTATGCACATAAAACCATAGAGAAAAAATAGGATGAAAAGTCATACCAGTTGACAAACTGTAGCTTTTTCTTTCCCCTTAGATTTGGCTTTCGTAGATGAATTTGACATTTTTTCCTCCTTTAATAAAAAAAAAAAACAATGCATATAATGTAAGAAAAAATGTTGCAGTATGTTGTTAAGCTATTGTCGCTTCAACAGATCAAACTTTTCACCAAACTCACAATTATATAACAGTGTTGCCTTAATAGAACTGTTTACCCAATCATTTACCAGCTTCATAATTATAATAGTCATAAACATTTTTATACACATAAAATTATAGATCGTCATCCATAATAGCATTTTCAAATTTTGGCATTTAAACATAATTTTAGTTATTTTCAATAGCATTCAATATCATATTTTCAGCATTTGCACAATAATATTATTGCAGTTAAATCATAAGCAGTCTACTTTCATAAGCAGTCATGTGACAACTAAGTAAGTCACATGAGTAGTTCAAATGCCACAAAGTCATTCAAAATTTAAAAACATAATGAGTACTTTAAATGCATAAGCCATAATTAACCAAGTATGAAAAATTAACTCATCATAAACAGCATAATTAAAAAATTATATTGTAAAAAGCCCAACATTTGTGTAACTCTTTAAACCACCAACAAAGTATATCCAAAAATGATTCCACTGTTCTCAAAGACAACCAAAAGTTGTCACAGCAACATCATTGTGCCACGAATTAACTTCTTTTAAGAACAAATAACTTTTGAATTATTAATTCAAAGGTAACGAATGATCATTCATGCAAAGATTCTAGGCCCACAAATTTATATAGTATCTCAGTTGGTTACTAAATAATAGACAACAACTATTCAAAAATCAATGTGGGAAGATATGACCCATGCAAATGGGGGAATAATTCAATTGTTAGATAATGAAAAATATAAGTAATTCCAGGGATGTGTAAATCACCCCAACATATTATATGAATGACCAACACTTTTCTTTTATAGCTCTCCCAATCTCTGTCGGCTACTTTAATGGGCTAGGAAAAAAGCATTTTGCAATATTGAAAACACAATACACTCTAGAACAAAGGCAATGGACTATATCCTAAACATTTTAATCAACCAAAAATCTTAATCCAAAAAAACATAATTGAACAGTCAAAAGTGTTCGAAATCTGTAGGTTCCACATGGGTCATGGGTGTTTTATCGGGATAACATCACTGAAAGTGAAATTAAAATCAAGACTTAAAAGTGAAAATTCTAATCGTATAGTACTTAATCAAGATATTTCATTGAATGTGCAAGATATTTCAATCTTGCTTAATCAATAAAAAAACAAAGGAAAAGAATGCAGGAAGAATATGAATTATAAAAAATCCAAGAAACACAAAATACAGAACAGACTGCACCGAGTTTGCTCTTCACCACCCTAAAGAAAGTGAATTTTAATTAATTTTATCAGAGAGTGGAATGAAAGAAAAAGGAGATTACAAAGAACTTTTGGTTCCAAACAAAAATTAATTTAAGCAAAACAACGCCCTAACATAGCTAGCCAGTAAATAACCACACCATGAAATATTAAAACAAAAAACCAACCAATTATGCACCTGGTACCACACAACACAAACATGAATATAAGATACTCTTACATATTTCTGATAATAAAAGTGTTAACTTAGTTTTAAAGTGATAATTTCTTCCACGTGCCAAGAACAAAGGCTAAATTTGGGGAAGGCATTTTCAAGTCTGCGTGTTGCTGTGAAGACCAGATGGAGAAGAGGGAGAATAAAATAAATAAAAGACACAATCATATCCAAACCATTAAAACACCATTGTCTCTTTCTCACAGGCTGCCAAGATATGTTCTACCCAAAGCATGTTCCAATGGAAAAGAAAAATATTTTTTCATACAAAAGCCTCAAGACAAAAACAAACCAATACATCCCGGAACAAAGCCAATAGTTATTGATTCAATAGACATAAGAGGCCAATGAGATTCCATGGAAGCCAATAGACATTTCCAATAGTCAATGAGATTCCGTGTGCGTGTCCAGTGTAAGCTTCTTATTACCCAACCAAAAAGACATTTCCATTAATAAACAGATTACTAAATATTGTGTTATAGACTTTACCATTAATAAACAGATTAAGTGCAAAACAGGGGCTGTCATAATGAAGAGAAATAAGTAACTTTAATAAGCATCAAACATCAACTTGCAGGGAAAAAAAAATTAGGATGTCGGGGCTGTCATTTCAAACTTCAAGGAATTTAGTATAGCAGATTTCATTTGCAAAACCTGGAATAATTTGGCAACGAAAAGATTACACTTAAAAAGTTCAGATCAATAATAGATCAAAAAGTGAAAAGATCACAAAATTCTGTACACACACAAAATTCTGTACACTTAAAAAAAACATATCAAACCAACACAATACAATAAAGTAAACATTTTTGAGTAAATAAGCAAACATTTTTAATGGAATTACGCAGTTGAAATACATCAGTGCTTTAATGGAATTAATAGCAGATGAAAAAAACTGTTCAGGAAAAAAAAAAAAAAGATCATCAAAAGAATCGCAAAATCTCACAAAAGATTAACCCATTTCCAACCCGAATCCGAATAAGGAAAGATTATTCATTCCAAAAAATATTTAAATCTACATTTGCTGTAATCTACATTTGCAACTCGAATCTACATAAGGAAAGAATCTACATTTGCTGTAATCTACATTTGTAACTCGAAGGGGGAGAGGGAGGTACCTGGGCTGAGCTTGGTGAGCCGCTGTGTTGAACGCCATTGGTGTCGCTGCTGTGTTGATCGCCACTGTGTGCCGCCACTGAGCCATGGCAAAGGAGTGAGAGGAGTGTGGGTAGAGGGGTAAGGGTCTGGGTTGCTGTGTGCTGCCGTTGTGTTGAGCCATGAGGCATGACAGAGGAAATGGGTGTGTAGGGAATGGGTTTGATTTGGGCGGGAGACAGAGAGTAACTGTAGGGGTGGGTTTGATTTGGGTGTGTAGGGAATGAGTTTGATTTGAGGCAGAGAGTAGCTGTAGGGAATGAGTTTGATTTGGGTGTGTAGTGTGGGGGGGGGGGGGGGTGTAGCGTGTAGAGGGTGAGTTTGATGTGAGCCTTTGAATTAAGTTGGAAGAATTGAGATGAAATTTAGATCATTAGATTAAAATTAGAATGAATCTGAGCCGTCTTGTGCTTTCCCAAATAAATTTAAATTATACTTTTCCAAATGAATTTAAATAAAATTAAATTTTTAAGTGAAAAAAGATTAAAAATTGGTTCTACCTTATTATTATAGAGATTAACATAATGTTAACGTAACATAGCCCACATCTCCCCCGCACGCCTCTGTCTGCCTCAAAACTCCATCGCCTCTCTCTCTCCCATCGTTTTGCTCTCAGATAATCGCCTCTCTCACCCTTTCTTCAGCACAAGCTCAGACAATCGCCGCTCTCTCTCTGCCATCGATTTGCTCAGAGCCCGCCTCTCTCTGCTACATCGATTTGCTCAGACCATCGCCTCTCTCTGTCAACAGATTTGCTCAGACCATTGCCTCTCTCGCCCCTTCTTCAGCACAAGCTCAGACCATCGCCGCTCTCTCTCTGCCATCGATTTGATCAGAACCCGAGAATTGTTTATGCCATTTTGTACCTGGAATGGGAGCTTGGTTGCCGATTAGACATATCCAGATATATTACCCAGTTGGTTGGAATAAGGGTTTTTTCTAATCCAAAAAACTTACAAGAGACAATGCAGTCTGGAGCGATTTTCTTGGGGAACTCCTGGTCTTGATGGTTCAATTTTTCTGGCTACTTTCTTTTGGCTATGTTTGTCTTGCAAATGGCCTTTACAACGAAGGGCCCACAAGCTGAATTTTTATGTTAATGCAATTGCAAAATGTTCTTTCGAATTATTTGGGGTTCTTCTGTTTTGGGTTGGTTGTTGTATTTTCCATTTTAGTTGCCTTGGATTTACTTGAGGATTATTGAAAGTCTTAGCTTGCAAACACAAATGTTTTGTTTTTTTCTCTTGTCCACAATTCTAATCAGGTGATTTTTGCATGTAAAATGTAATTAATGCAAGTCTTTCTAGTCTTATAATTACTCTTCCCTAAATTGTTCAAATTCTCCCCAATCTGGAATCCTATTTCTGCAAAGTATTCTAAAATGTTGTATGGTTTGGTCTCTTTAGTTAGTTAACTTGTTTACTCGTTTGGCTGCTAAGCTTGATTAGTTGCTTGAATTTCTTTGTCAGAGCTGGATATTAGTCACTTTCATGGGATCAGTTCATGTCTTGAACCATAAAAACTGAATAGAACCATTCTGATGGAATACTGAGAAGAAGGTTCAGTTGTTTAAAGTTCAATATCTCTGCAAGTCTAATTGACCCACTCGGTTTTTCAAGCCAGTTTGCTAAATCGGTTGACCAAAACCCCCAGCTTGTCCTAGTTCTTGTTGTTACTTATCTCAGGATTTTTGTGGACAATTTCATGCTTATAATTGCTACTTCATTATTGTATAAATTTGAAATAATCACTAAGGTTAAAACCCAATTTTGTTTTATTTTCAGAGGCATCTTGTGCTTGGAGTAATATCTCAGATCATTAAGGTAAGATTCGTTCATTTGTCTAATTATCCAAATTCCCAATGATGATATGGAAATTATCATTACACAATTTGAATTTTGAACTATGGTATCTAATCAAAGCTTTGCAGGATTTGCATCCCTATATCTGAGATTAGCTACTATCTATGAATGCATCTTACTGTGTATTTTGATTTAATTTCTGACATTGCTAATGTATGCTATTCATAGATACAACAGCTGGCAGACCTCAATTTAAAGAAAACACCTTAGTTGGTGGAGTTGGTTGATGATAGTAAGGTGAAGCATGTTCTCTCACTTCAATGACAGCAATTTGATGCATTTTGTTATCTAATATCTGAAACAATCAGGATGTGGAGGAGCTGATGAGTATACCACCTGAGAAAATCTTGCTTAGGTGGATGAACTTCCAGCTGAAAAAAGTAGGATACAAGAAAACAATAACAAACTTCTCTTCAAAAAATATAAAGGTAGATGGGTTCAATTGATCAGGATTTGTATCCATGGTTTGGATATTGCTAGTTTTTGAGCCTACAGTCTGTTTTAAATGCAGGATGGAGAGGCCTATGTCCATCTCTTGAATGTTCTTGCTCTTGAGCACAGTAATCCATCTATATTGGCAGCAAAAGATCCTTCACAAAGAGCAAAGCTGGTTCTTGAACATGCTGATAGGATGGGTTGCAAAAGATACTTAACAGTGAAAGATATTGTTGAAGGTTCTCCGAATCTCACACATTTTCCAGCTTAGGTAAGAAGCAGCCTTCTTCAAGGAGATGAAATCTGTATGTGGTGTTACACGTAGATTCTTTAGCAGTTATACAACTCTCTGAGGTTTGGCCAGCCTCTATTAGAAGCACCTAATGAAATTGGTAGTAGACATTTCATCAGATGCAGTGTCCTAGTGAAAAATGGGATACTAATGTAGGTCCATTATCATGGCCAGGAAAAAAACAGTGTTCCTTGTAACCATGCCATGATGGTGTTAGACTAAAATTGCTGAAAGAATTATCTGATGGGGATCAACCTGTTCTATTTTCTTGCTATAATAGACTAAATCATGCATTTTGGATTTCAATGTTTATGAGTATGGTAGAAGCTGTCAGCCTGCCTGGTAGGTATTGTTTGATTTTGATTCTTGGTGGGTCCAATGGAGCATATTTGAACACTAGGTGTGTTAGCCATGGAGAGTATCTCATCTATTGAGCTTGTCAAACATTGATGATTTGAAATTTAACTCCTGATTTTGTTACATCTATTGCCTGGTAACTGTGTGCACTTTACTTGTAGGAACGGGCTTTCAAGCCAGACCAAGCAAATATCTTTTCTTGAAACTTCACCAGATGACACCCAAATCTCTAGAGAAGAGAAAGCATTTCGCTTTTGGCTGAATAGCCTGGGAAATTCAACTTATGTAGACAACGTCTTTGAAGACCTAAGAAAAGGGTAAGTATTTTCCTTACTACAATATACTACTTTTTTTTTTGCCCCTACAATTGTATTCAATTGGTATTTTCATGCTTTATAAATGTACATGATTCTTGAACAAAGTAAACTATAGCAAAGACCTTGAACTCTGCTTTGTAGTCATTATCTTTGATGAACTTAGATTGTCAGCGACAAATTACCTGGAGAAAATTGGAAATACCATGTTGGGAAAAGTTAAAACTTATTTTTAGTTTAAATATTCCGAAAATTGTACGGGGTTGAAGCTAAATCTAAGGTTTCTTTGAGGATAGTGTGGTTATGTCTTTTTCTTGTATAGACTTTTGAAGCTTGAATATTGGTGTTGTTAGTTGCCATAAATTGAATTGGTTTTTTGTCTGATTTGTAAGGGTGGAGCTAAGAAGGTCATTATCTCTGCTCCTGGCAATGATGCTCCCATGTTCGTTGTGGGGGTCTCAAGGAGAAAGAAGCTGGAGCTTAACATTGTCTCCAATGCTAGCTGCACCACCAACTGCCTCGCTCCCCTTGCAAAGGTTGTTCTTAGTCTCTTTTTTATGGTCTCTATGAAATTCATTCAATTAGAACTATGCAACAAAATTTGGCATTGTTGAGGGTCTTATGACCACTGTCCACTCCATCATCAGTAGGTTTTGTTAGTTGTTTATTTGTTTGGCCTTTCAAAGAGATTCTTTGTATTGATATTGCTCCATTTTGTTTCAGCCATACAGAAGACTGTTGATGGACCATCTTCCAAGGACTGGAGGGGTGGTAGAGCTGCTTCTTTTAACATTATACCTAGTAGCACTGGAGCTGCAAAGGTACTTGTAAATCCCTAAGGTTGCATTAAGTAATCAAATGATCAATGACAGGCTTCTTTGTGAGATGATCTGTAGGCATGACTTAGCTTTTTTCAGACTGAGCTGTGATATCAGATAAACATAGTGATTGTTCATGTATTTTATTTTCCTCTGTTGGGCTTTTGTCTGTAATGACTGGCTCTAATTCTTGCCCTTTTTTCCCTTTTGAAAAAAACTAATTTTGGAAGGCGGTTGGGAAAGTGCTACCAGCGCTAAATGGGAAATTGACTGGAATGGCCTTCCGTGTTCCCACCATTGACGTTTCTGTGGTTGATCTAACTGTGAGACTGGAGAAGGGGGCTAGTAATGATGAAATCAAAGCTGCTATCAAGTAAGGATGTTGGTTTTGTTTATTTTTCCAGTTGAAAGTAAATATATAGACTTGTTGCAGAAATACAAACTCTAGTTAATTTTATATATTTTGGTGGACTTGGATTAACTATTAGGCATGGGATGGATGCTCAAGGTCCTGCTGATTATTTGTTGCACTGTGTTTAGTTTGATCTTATTATTGCGGTGATGGTCATCAGGGAAGAGTCTGAGGGAAAACTAAAGGGAATCTTAGGTTACACTGAAGATGACGTAGTGTCCACTGACTTTGTAGGTGACAACAGGTGAGAATGTATATTTCAATCACATGCTTTGTGTTTTGATTCTCCTTTCATTACTTGTTCAACTTTGTCCATGAACCACACATTTAGGCATGCTAATAATTGATGGATTCCTGCTTGTGAAATTTATTGCTGATATACTTTTTGATCATAGTCTTTGGCTTAATTTTTCAATCCTTATGACTTGGGCGAAGAAATGTTTTTTTCAACTTATGCAATTTCATTTTCTTTGACAAGTACATGATCCATATTTTTCTGACTTATTAGGTCCAGCATGTTTGATGCTAAGGCTGGAATTGCTTTGAATAAGAATTGCTTGGAATTGTTCTGATCTGACTTCAGTCTGGGCCAGTACTGATCTGTTGAGCTTGAAGATGGTATTTTAAGACATGGTGTTGAACTGCTGGAGTTGTGCAAGTTTAAGAGACATTAAATGTAATTAGAGATTGTTTAAATCCTCTTGAAGGATTAAAACCATTTTTTTAATTTTTAGAACTTCTTGGTCTTTGATTCTTGTAATTCATTCTTTTTAGAAATAAAATTTATTTTTTTAAAAAAAGATGTGAAATGTATGTTGAATGGAAAAGATGTAAAATGTATTAATTGTGTTAATTTTTTTATTGAACACAGGTATTATTTGTATACAAGTGAAAAATTTTATTGGGATATCATTTTTTATGAATTATTTTAAAAAAATGAACTTTTTTGCCACGAAATTAAAATCGTCGCGAAAAAAATTTCAGGAACAATTTTTTGCGACGATTTTAATTTTGTCGCAAAAGTATTTATTCAATTATTTTTTATATTTTTTATTTATGTAAAAAATTATCTGCGACATTTTTTTTACGTCGCAAAAAATTAATTTAATTATTATTTTTTATTTTTGTAAAAAATTATTCACAACGAATTTTTTATGTTGCAAAATATTAATTAAATTATTTTTTTTGCATTTTTATTTATGTAAAAAGTTATTTGCGACGATTTTTTTGCGTCGCAAAAAATTAATTTAATTATTATTTTTTATTTTTGTAAAAAAATATTCACAACGAATTTTTTATGTTGCAAAATATTAATTAAATTATTTTTTTGCATTTTTATTTATGTAAAAAGTTATTTGCGACGATTTTTTTGCGTCGCAAAAAATTAATTTAATTATTATTTTTTATTTTGTTACACGGGCGGAATAGATTTTAGCTACTTTTTTTTTTCGTCGCAAAATATTTTCTATGACGAGACTATTACGATAAACACGCAACGAAAAAAAAATGTCGCAAAAAATAATTGAGGACGATTTTTTTGAATTTAGCGACAAAAAAAATTGTCGCAATGTCGGTGTAGAGGTGCTAGGTGAGACAATTGTGCGAGCAAGGAAGGCGTTGGAGCTGGGCGCCATTGGAGTGAAGGTGCTGGTCTAGTCAATTGTGCATGTAAGGGAGGCCCTAGGCGAGGCACTCTTGGCGGCTAGGCTAGCCCTTGTCGTTGGACGAGGCGCCCTTGGTGCTGGGGTAGGATGTAGCTGGGAGTTGAGGACCTGTTGGGTGTCGCTGGCCAAGCAACCCAGCTGTTGGGCGCTGCTGGATGCGAGGCGAGTCAAGCTTGGCGGCGGGGCTAGCTACTTTGCTAATCGCGATGGTGGAGCACTGTTTGGGGACAAACGCAAGTAGGGGAGCAGGTGCCAGATCCTTAGTGTTAGAAACGTAGACAAGCCTTGTTTGTGCTAGGTGTTAAGCATGGGAATGCTGCAACAAGGCAACAGTGCTGGATGGGCGCAAAAAGGATGAGGCCCGATTGTTGCCATTCAATCAAATTTAGTCCGGCAGGTTGTAGATAGCCTGAGTTTCAAAAGTTTACATGAAGATGGCAAAAATAATGTTATTCTAACATCAAAATATCTAACATCAAAATATCTAACATGATTACCTGGAGAGAGAGAGGGACAGACTGCTTGTATGAGAGCAACGATAGAGTCTCAGGATTGCTCGTGAGAGAGCTACACCTTTTGAGACCAAGCTTTTTGGCAAACCATGAGAGTGCCGCTGTGAGACCCAATTACGCATTGCATGCATATTAATATAATTTTGTGGGTTAAATTCTAATTATGTGAAATTATTAGAGGATTAATTAAATTAATCTTTCATAGCCATGATATGTGTGAACATACACTGGGTAGGTGGACCCCGTTAGTGATGTATTAGTAACACCTATTTATAGGAATTTCATGTGTGAAAATACTAGTGGGTCAATTTCGAAACCACTTAAAACCATGGGGGGAGAGAAGTATAATTACTCCATTTACTGATTTACCTTTACAGGTGTAGGATTTAAAAAAAAAAAAATCAAAACAAAAGAAAGGAAAGGTGAGTCATTTTAAGTGTGTCATGTGTGTGCCATGAGTTGGTATGTGTGAGTCTCAAGGTGTGAAGTGTGTGTGTGATTAATATATATTAATAAGTGTATGTGTGTGTTATTGTCCGACCGAAAAGTCGAGAGGGAGAGAAAGAAAAAAAATAGAGAAGAGAACCGTGAGTGACTGTGAGCAACAGAGAAAGAAAGAAAAAAAATAAGTGTGTGTGTCCATCTGAACCGTGAACAAGGAAGGTACGTGGGACTCAACTTGCGCATAAGTTGTGATTAATGTTAGTATAGATGTTGTTGTACATATGTGAGTTGTTTTAACATGTTTTAAATTAAAAGGCTATTTTAATTTAATTCATAGACTGCTTTAGTTAATTTTAATGGGTTGTTTTATGGTACGTTCAAAACATAGTTTTTTGAGTTTAAATTAAGTGTATTACATATAATTAGTGGGTTGTCTTGTGTACAAATGATGGATTGTTTTATTTTAAGATCAAAATAGATTTTTTTTAGAGTTTCATTAACTGTATTTAGTCTACTTAAGGGGATGTTAAAAATGGTTGTAAATGGGTGTTCAATCCAGGTATGAGAAAGAAGAAAAAAAATGTGAAAAATGAATATCGGAAAGCACTTAGCGAGCTAGGTTAAAAACGAAAATTATGAGAATGAAATGAGTGGTTTAAAGGGTCAATTAGGGGCGGTTTTGCATTGATTGAATGTGTATGTGAATTTAAGTGTAGCGGTTTTAAATAAAAAGTGCGATAGAAGTGGAAAACGGGTGCCGGTAACGCCGAAACCCTGATTTTTAAATATTATTATCACATGCGTGAATTTTAATCCAAATGACCTGAAATTTTGCATGCAGCACTTTTAAATGATGCTTGATGTGATAATGTGACTTTTGAATGCAAATGAGTATAATATCTAGTGCGGAATGTATGAAATGCCGGAAGTGCAATTTTTAGGATTCGTGGTCGAAATGTGTGAAAATGAGCCGCCGGTCAATGTGTTTGACCTATGTAATCCTAATTGTGACTAATGTGAATGATTTTAAAAATTTGGTGAGGAAATGTGATCCCTGGAACAAAAGTACTATTGTGTGAGTGGATAGTACGGTAACCAAAGTTACTGGAGTACTTTGAAGTGCATCATTTTGCATGCATTAGTGCATGATTAACTATTAAATGTGATAAACATATTGATATTGTAATTACACATGTGTTAGGTGAAACGAGTGAGATAGTCGGTGTCGAAACGGATACGATAACATCAAAAGGATTCACCAATAGGACCGAAGAGTCATAGCTTTGTACATCTGAGATGAGTGTTTATCTTTATATGTTTTGAAAATGCTATTATAAGATGATAGTAAATGATAGAATTTAATAGCATTTCTCCAATATTATGTGCTACTTGCCTATGTGATTGAATGATGCCTTATACTGTGTATTGTGTATTGTGGAACGTGGCACACTGCTTGAGATAGGGGTATCGATGCCTGATCATTGGGCGTACAGTGATGTACTAGCACTGTGGTGTTCCCGGGAGGTTCGGGAGACACGGATTCATGTGGCATCGATTACCCGATGAGGGGTAGTATGAATGTGATATGACTTGTGAATTCTTTGGAAATGGATTGATGTTATTGTTTGATACGTGTATCTACGTAGTATCTACCTATTTCAGTGTATTGCTATCATTTTCATTTCATATACAACTTGTATACTCACTAAGCGCGTAGTTTAGCTCACACCCTTACAGTTTCTTCTTTTCAAGTACTATAGAAGAGAATGCAGACTAGTCCATTGTCCAGTTGATTGAGTTTTGTACAACGTTAGTGTGATACCACTCAGGTTGAGTGTCGGTATGACTAACCGTTGGACTGTGTATTATATTTGTGAGAGATTATTTTGGTCGGGTATTAGTATATATTTGTAAATAGACTCAACAAGCATACTTTATGATGAATGTTATGTGGGTGTGAGCTTTTGTATATGTCTATAACTTGGTAGATAAACAATTGATACAGGTGTTTTATATATGAAACATGTTACGAGACATGTTTTACCATCATGCTTAATGACTAAGGTGATGGGTGGTGTTGTTACACCTGTGAAATTATTTAATATCTGATTAGTCCAAATTATAATAATTGTAAACAGGTGTATCAAAAATTTAGTCACATCTCATCCTTGGGAGATCGAGATGGGGCGTGATAGTCGCTAAGTTGGAGATATAGGTTGCTTGCTTGAGAACAGAGCAAAGGTAGGCTAAGCTTTGGGCAACCTACGAGAGAGCCACTATGTTGGAGATAGGTCGTCTGCTAGAGAGCAGAGCAGAGATAAGCCAAACTTTTGGCAACCCGAGAGAGCTATTAAGCTAGAGATAGGCTGCCTGCTTAAGAATAATGCAGAGATAGGCCAAGCTTTTGGCGATCCGCGAGAGAGCCGCTAAACTGAAGATAGGCTACCTGTTTGAGAGCAGTGCAGATATAGGCCAAGCTTTTGGCGATCTGCGAGAAAGCCGCTCAGTTAGAGATATACTGACTGTGAGCCTGCCCACATGAGAGTAGAGGCAGAAATTAAGAGTTAGCCCATGGGGGAGTTACCAAGCTGGAGGCTCATCCCCAAAAAATAGAGATGAGGAGGGTGCTAAGGAGTAGGGCGCTTGAGTGTTGGACTCTTGGTGCTAGGCGCCAGAGGCTGGATGCCTGAGTGCTGGGCGCTTGAGTGATGGGCACCTAGTGCTGGGCACTTGGGGTCGGACACCTGACTCTAAAAAAAAAGAAGCCCAAAGGCATAAGCATTAATACAATTTGTGGCTGAGCAAATACCACTTGAGGAGAAAAATTGCCAAGAAGACTCGGCATCAAGCGCCTAGTCTTAGGCACCCAACACCAACCGCCTAGCCTCAGGCGCCTAGCACTTAGGCACCCTGCCTCAGGTGCCCAACACTTAAGTGCCCAGCACTAGGTGCCCATCACTTAGGCACCTAGCACTCAGGCGCCCAGCATCAGGCTCCCAACACTCAAGCGTCCAGCCTCTGGCGCCTAGCACCAAGTGCCCAACACTCAAGCGCCCTGCTCCTTAGCACCATTCTCATCTCTATCTATTGGGATGAGCCTCCGGCTTC